ACATGTCCAGATGCACAGAGGGGAGGGTTGTTTCTCCCTTGTGTTGGCGACAGCACACCCCACCTCCCACCTCCAACACAGCCCAAGAGAAGAAAGAAACACAAATTTATCCAACTCCTGTCTTTTCTGCCTGCACAGATCACAGGGAGGACTCTAGAAACCACACTGCAGAAAACTAAATGAGGCTGTCAGCAATCTGTAAGAGCCCAGTGCAAAACAAATGAATGACTATTTAGTGCAATACAACAGGCATCTACACACACTGCAGGTGTCCAGCCTCACATCACAGTGCAGATAGAGCCAGTGCGGGAGCTGTTTAGGTAAATACAGGCTTCTGGAACTGCTTGAGGTGCCCTCAATTACCCCTCTATCCAGGGCTAGCAGGACAAGACTTACATCTTTCTGTGTGGGCCAGGTGGGATGCACTTAGGGAACCATATCAGACCATGCCTCAGCAGACCCCAGGGAATTCCTGTGTGGACACCTCTATTTGACTCTCAGTTGATCCATTAGTGAGAGAGAACAAAATCCTGTTTCTCAGCTCAGCTGCACAGCAAGCTTTTTTTTTTCTCCCTTATTTTTTTCCCCCAGAAATCACATATTCAGACAACTGCAATGAAGACTCCTCACTCCACACATGTTGATACCACACTGAACTCCAACTCATAGCTCATTTGTGGTCACTCAGCTGTTCTGTGGTATTCCTGCTTTTTCTCCTTATCATTCACCATAATTACTCTGCACATGGTTACAAACACATGGTTCTGTTTCCCATGAGTTAAGGCTACAAGTAGGGATTGTGCTCTTCCCTTTTGGAGGGTTAGAATTTTAAGCTCTGTTGAACAGATATGGTGTTAAATATGGTTCGCTGTCCTCCAGCTGGGGAGGACAAATGCACTGAAAGGTGGCAAAAGGCATATTTCATGAGTGAGGAAATGAAATGACAAAAATGAAAATGCACGATGTTATCTTCTGTTGTCAGTGGAACAGCACTTTTCACTATGTCTGTATGCAATGGGAATATTAACTCTGATATGCAAAAGTGCAAATTAAATTGCTGATTTAGATTATCATATTTCAAGAATAGTAACTTTATAGGCTTTTTTAATTTTTCATTCCATGTAAAACCTCTGTGAGTTATAAGCCTTTTTTGTCAACTATATCTTATAAGTGAGAGGTTTATATTCCTGCTGTTACACTAAAGGAGGCATTTTGCTGCTAGGAGAGTTTAGCATTTTATTCAGCTGTGGTAACTTTCCCTTATACTCTAGCACGAAGCACAATTAAGACAGAAATGTTCAGTAGCTTATTATGCCCCTGTGTGAGGAACTAATCTTTTTATCCCCCACTTCATTTTTCAGGGACTCCCAAAGTGTTTTGCAAACTCCACACATTTGCCTAGCATAAACAAAGAATACATGAACTTCAATAGGGACTTTGGCTTCTACATTTTTAGTAATTCCACTTTCTCTTACTGCAAGTTTCAAGAATACTGGAATTTCCCAGTTAATATTCTGGGCTTTTAGGTAAATTTTGCTCACATTAATTTGGGCTATTTGTTACTTTGGTGAATAAGCAGGGGAACAGAGGACTACAATTTTTAAAGAAATCTATTTATTATTTAAAGGAACATTTTCTTTACACAGAACAATACACAGGTTTCCCTCCTGAACTACCAGTGGGTGACAATCTCTGATGAATGCCATTCAATAAAAACAAAATAAATGTGCTTTTTGGTTTTTTTTTTTTTTTTTTTTTTTTGTGGGTGGTTTTTTGGGTTTTTTTGGGGTTTTTTTTTGTTTTCCTATAGGAAACCAGCAAACATTCCTAAGGAAGTTACTCCATTACTAACTTTTCGAGCACTGAATTTCTGATTTAGCCTGGCTTTCTATGGACACACACCATGTGCATTTGTTGCTCTGGGTTTTGCTGTCTGGTTCTTCCCTCTAATATCTTGCAAATCTATTTGCCAATTTTGATTGAATTTGATAGAGTAATTGAAGACTCAGTGATACAAGCAAATGAGGTGAGGACATCTGGCCCATTCCCTTGTCTCAGATGGACAATGGCTATGGACCCAGGGAAGCTGGGTAATAATTGTAATAAAAGTTATCTATTGTTACTTTCCCAGGACTATCCTCTGACATCCAGGACTGGAGGTTCATAGGGATCCCAAGCCACAGCTGCTTCCTTTGAGTCTTGTAATCTTTCCTACCAAATCTTGTCCTATTCTGCTTGCGTGATACATATTTAAAGGAGAGAAAGAGACCCTCTGAATAACCTGACTGAGTGAAGGCTGCAACACGAGCAGTTATCCCTTACTAGACTTTATTAAAGTTACTCTCCCTGGAGGTTACCCAGCGCACTTTGTCTTTTGTCTCTCTGTTCCTTAGGCCTCAATTACATTGTGATAAATTGTCCTGAGTAAAGAAAAGTGTGAAGCAGACACTCTGATACTTTCTCATTTTCTGCCTTACCTCTTGGGCATTGCCAAGTAAACTGCCATGGAGACCAGCACATAAACATCCCTTCCCCAGGACAGTCTTGTGGGAAGAAGCCAAGGAACGTAAACATCCACAGCAGCAGGCATCACCTGGCACTGTAATTTATAATGACAGCCACACAAAACATTTTCTCAGTGATGCACATGAGAGGAAAGTGCCTGGTCTGACTTTGTGTGTGTCAGCAGGTGGAAGCATTTCACAGCTTCTGCCCTGCACCAAGCTCTGCAGCTTCCAGACCATCCCAGGGAATGGACATGGTCACCTGGTGGCTCTCAGAGCCCAGGGGACTTCGGGCTGGGCACACAGTGACTCGCTGTATCGACAGCTCTTCTAGTCCCAGTATCTTCTCAAGGCTGCCTTAAAATTTTCCTTCAAAAACACCAGAATCAAGCAATTTAATGGTACTATTAAATGTCGTTGTCAACACTGGCTACACTTGCCACAGGAGCTCTTGGTCCCTGTTATTTTTTCTATGATCTTCTTGTGATGATTGAATGTTATAATTTCCAGGATTCCCACAGGCGATCATTAAAATGCTGGCAAGTTGGTATTGATGACTGGTTTCCACTGCACAAGCAGAGTATTTCTCAGCAGATAAGTACACACTTTTTGCCTTGAACAGTGAAAGAAATGTACACTGAAATTCTTTCCCACTGGCAGTTTATATTTCAATACACGAGGATAATTTCTACAAGAAAATATAACATTCGTGATTGCATCCAGCATTTACAAAAACAGTCAGGCTCTTCCAATTTGAAAAGAAAAAATTATGCAGGAAATGGGGGACTATTTCTATGCTGATTTGACATCTGAGTCATCAAGTTTAGAGAAGGCCCTGTGGCAAAAGTGCTCACCCTACACAGAGGGTGGAAATAAATTGAACATGAACACAAACTGGAAAGGAGAGAGCATCTCTACATGGCCCTTTCCCTCTCCATGCTAACCATTATGTACCCAGCAAAATTCATGGTGAGGTACAACACCTTCCAAACAAGCACCTGGTGAAAAAACCCCGAATGTGTATTATGTGGGGATGTAAAAGTCCCTCCTGGTCTGAGGGGGGGCTGTGTTTGAGGAGAGCATGCTCTGGCTGGTGGCTGCATTACAGAGTCCCTTTGCTCAGCTCAGCCCAGGACCTCAGCAGACACAAGAAGAGCAGCAAACAAGCTGGAACGCCCTGGGTTAGGATATGTGACACTGTGGCATCATCTCAGCAACCCACACTTGCCTCAGAGCTTCATGCAGGGTGAGGAAAAGCACCCCAAAAGCAGGCAGTGATATTGGGCATAACTGAAATCCTGATGCCTAATGCCAGGCACTGGCCTGGGAATAACCACTGGAAAACCAGCTTTATCTGTTGGAAGAAGAAGCTCTATTGCACTGAAGGAAAAAAGAACTAGGAGCAGAGAAAGCTCAGCTGTCCGGTTTGGCCACTTGGATGTTGTGTCTCAGTCTCTTCCTGCTGTGCCTCTTCCGGCACTGGTGGAGAGCACCAGAGTCTTCCAGAAGTGTCCTCCTGCTCCCTTCATTGCCATACGGAGTGCATGGCTTCCTTGTCTGAGTGCTCAAACCAACCCCTGCTTCAGTGCAATGGATGAAGGCCACAGCCTCACCTTCTGCTTCACTGCCAAACTTCCTCCACCAAACTTTTCACTCTGCAAGGCTACAGCAATCAGGCAGCCACACCACCATGAGGTCAGGGCTTTTGCCAGAATATTGGACCTTGCTGCAGGGAAAAGCACAGGGAGTGTAAGAACCAGCCTGTGGCTGTGCTTGTGCATGTGCTGCAAAGTCACCCATCAAACGCCATCCTTTTCTTCACCTTGGCTGACCCAGTGTGGACCCATTTTCTTAATGCAAAATGTGTGGAAGTAGGAGTTTTATTGCTGATGAACTGTGCAAACCTGGCAGCTGAAGGCAGAATTGTTCCTTCTGAGCTGGAGCAGGCACTTTGTCAGCTCCCTGCTGGTGACTAATGAAGCAGGTAACCCTTTCTGTGTTGCAAGGCCTTCCTGAATGGACTCAAAACACACATCAATCTTTATTAATGCTGTCACTCCTCCTGCAGAGGTGCTCTCCCTCAAACCCACTTTTTCTTGTGCAGAAACAAGGGCTTTCCAGCAGATTACCCATACCTATAATTACACCTGAGATGCCAGATGGTCACCTGCTGATGGGAAGGTGATCTAGCAGGTAACCACCTAACAAATAGGTGACCCTCTGCCGGGTGACACAAGACATAAAGATCCAACAGCTAAGGTGATACACGTGGCACTTTGCAAAGAGCTCTATCAGCTGCATTGATAGGGAAAGGAGGGAAATGCATGAAGAATAAAGCAAGTACTTACCACTCCCTACTGATTTCTGAATAAATAATTTTTTCTCTCAAAAATAAAAGACTTAGCAAAAGAAATTTATTGGAGGTTTTTTGTTGTTTTTTCTTCCCCCTCCTGTGCAGTCACAGCTGTGTGGGGTCCTTTGCTTCCCCCTACTGTCACCCTGGAACGGCACAGGGGGGGCTGTGGCTGCAGCCAGCCGTGGGAGTGGGAAGCCTGATGAGGATGGGCTCCGCCGGCAAGCGCTCCCGCATCCCACAGCTCCCACGGTGCTGCTGTGGAGAGCGCTGAGAGCGGGAGGCCAGCAGGAATAAAAGGCAGCAGGGCCCCCTCCGTGCCTCACCGCCCACAGGCAGAGTCCCAGGAGCCAGGCAGAGCTCTGGGGTCCCATCGGAGAGGGCTCTCCCAGCTGGCTCCCACCGAAGGCTGGATTTGCTGCTCCTCTGCCCCGTCTTCCACACACGCAGGTGAACGGATTTGGCACCCACTGCACTCTCAGGTAAGAGGGGTTTGCTGGGACCTGGGCAATGAAAGCCAGTGTGGGGCTTTGTGGTTTGTTAGGAAACCGGGTCTAGAAGAGGACTTTGCTCAGAATATTTCAGAAAATAAAAAGCAATTGTTCCCTCTAGCAGTTCTTAGGAAGAGCCCTTGCTCCGGAGGGGTTTGCTGGCCCATGTACAAATCCCGTGTCCCAGCAGGGATCTCCTGGCAGTCAGAAGCCATCAAGTGGGAACTGGAATCTTAGGAAGCCCCACCAATTCTGCCTGCTGCATCCACCAGCACAGAGTGGAGCACCTGCACCTGGGAGAGAGAAGAGCTCAATTTGAACATGGTGTCCATCCACTGTGGATGGACCTGGCTCTTGTTTGGACTCACACATGGTGGGGCCAGCCTGAAGTTGTCTTCTGGCTTTGCTGTAGGTCAGGCAGGCACCAGTCAGGGCTCACCCTCTTTTGACTCCTATTACCTAAAGATTTAGGATGAGAATAATGACCAGAAAAATAATTCAAAGCTAAAACTAGCTGAAATAACAAAGGAAACAGTCTGGAGGGTCTGTGCTACACACACTTATCCCTGCTGCATGTAAGGGACAAGGAACTGAGTGCAACAGGCGGCAGAAATGTGAGACTCAGCATGTGTTCTGGGTGGGCAAACCTGGCAGTGAGGGCACTCAGTGAGGAGTGTCAGACAGCCTGGAACAGGCACAGGGGTGCTGTGGCTCAGCTGCAAGCTGCCACCCCAAAAAGCAGCTGTATGGTAAGGCTCCAGCCTCCTGCCAGGGGTTCAGAGACTTGTCCCCACTGCTTGCTGGCCCTTCTAACCCAGGGGCAGGTCCCTTTCCACTGGGAAAACAAAACCTAGGGAAGGACTGATGGGAGGAGGTCCAGAAGTTGGCTTTGGTCTTTAACTTGTTTTCCTGGCTTAGTTTTATGTTTTTCGTATGGCTTTCCCATCACTATCAAACTGGGAGCAGGTACAGTGGGGCAGGACACCTTCCTGCCCTTGTATGCCACCAGTCTTTGTGCTGTGCCAATTTCAGTTTCCTGTGAGTCTCAGTGACAATTTTTCTGTTTCAGATGTGAAACAAAACCATTTTGCAGCTGCCTGGCTGCTGAAGTGCACTTTAGCACCCTCATGCATTGGCACAAAAGAAAATAATTCATCCTTAACACCCATAGCAGCTTCTGCAGAATCACCAAAGGTGTGGGGGAAAGGGGCAACACCTCTTTATCTGGCAAATAGAATGAATTCTCTGAGGGATTTGTCAGTCCTAGAGAAGTCCAAGCCATCATCTGAGGAAGGACTGAAACCATTACCTGGTAGTTATGTGTGCTGTGTTCTTGTGTGAACAGGCTTTGTGCACAGCCATCGTGAAATTGCTTTCTTTATCTCACCTGTTGAAACAGCACACCCAGAGCTCTGAATCACAGTCACTTCTGGGCTCTGTCACTAGATGGTGACATGCTTCCAGATACCAAGTCCTCCCTCAGTTTGTCTTTTTCTTTTAGTGTAAAAGAGCAGTAAATAAAGACAAAAAACATCTGTTTTACTCTCTGCCTATGGAAATACATCATTCTCAGCCACAATAAATTCTGCTTAAGATAATTTGATATTTAACTGATTTTTAATATGGCATTGGATTGATCAATGTTGTTTCTGTAAGAATTACTGCTATAAAAGTAATTTTAGTTATAAACATTTACATAATGACTAATATTTCCGATCTATTCACAATTTAGAACATCTTTGTCAGCAGACATTGCCAGATGCAAAATGAACGCCTGTTTGTGCATCTTCTAGAAACAAACCTGCACTGAAAGCTTTAAAGTTAATATATCATTTGGTTGAGGAAAGTACCAGTTTCCCTTCCTCTTTTCTGTTTTCCCTGAGCATGCAACAGTGCTTATTTTTTTTCCTTGAAATGCTCATCAGTAGTTTCGGCCCATAGGCACAGTATTTGCTCTGCCGAAGAAGGTTTGGTGGCTGGTATGAGACACATGCACTCAACAGAGGTCAGGCCCTCATATGTAATTTCCATTCCAGTCCATCATTCAGTACTGAAGGAGGTGTTCTCTGGGATATGAAGATGAGGGCTGGAAAAGGAGAGCTAAATTCCGTGAGCCATCTGATGAGATCAAGCACTAGAAACCTGGATGTATTCATTGGTGGCTGGCTGCTGCCTGCAAGGGTTACTGACCTGGTGGGATGTCTGTGATTGCCTCAGTCCCTGACTCCTGCTTGGTCATTCACCCACAGGTAAAACCACACCTGCCTCTGTTTCCTGCCAGGAAACAGAACCTGCAATGCCATTGTGCAAGGAGCAAACCCCATCCCCTTCCCACGGCAGCAGAGGGTCCTCTCTGGGCTTGGGGACAGCCTCCTCTGCTCAGCCATGACTAGAAGGGCTTGGACAGACTTTGGAGAGGGGTATGGCCATGGACCAGCTGGTTGAACAAGTCTGTCTTTATCTTCAGTACATGCCTGGGACCCTGTGGTCCCTAGTAGGCTTCGGGCCAAGCTGGACAAGAAAGCCCTAGGGTGGATCTCATGGCAACTTAGAACACAGTGAGGCTGAGCCTAAAATACTGCTCTCTAACCATTAAGAAATCTAGGGGCTATTTTGAGGTAGGTGCAGGAATGCAGCTTCCCTTATCCTGGCCTCCTCCACACACACCCTCCTGTGCCACACAGCTGCTGCTGGTGGCACACTTGTGGTCACCCTGGCCAGAAGCTGAGGCTTGGAGCGTGTGGGGTGTGTGTGTGTGTGTGTCTGTGTGTGTGTGTGTGTCTGTGTGTGTGCATCTGTCTGTCTCTATGTTGTGTGTGTGAGCTTTCCACACTCCCATTGATTTGGAATGCCACTTAACTGTCTGGTGCTGTCTGAGGCCAGAGCTTGGATGCCTGGCTGCTTGCTCATCCCTCACCCCACCTTGTAAAAATTCTTCTTTACAAGGAGCTAGTTTCTAATCCAGTTACTTTTCTGTCAAAAGCATGTTGTTCTGGGCTCCCTGTGGTTTGCAGTTTTTATTCCATATTCTTCTTCAGAATCCTCCTTGACCTTAAAACTCTTTTCATCTTCTCTCCTCCTTTTTCTCTTTAATTCATTTTTGCTCACTAGTCAATTCTTGCTGGGGTTTGTGTACCAAGCCCCACCTGTTTTCCTGGGTTTTCTCATAAGAGTTAAATAATTTGTTCTGCCTGAAACCCAATCAAGCTGAAGATAGATCCTTTCATAGCTTTCAGGAAGATGGAATTAATACTTCTCCCCCAGCCTTCCTGTGACCCCAGGGCTCGAGCATCATCCCCAGCAGGCAAGCCTGCGGCTGCTGGAAGGCATAGCTGCCTCTGGGTTTGCCACGCTGCTTGCTGGGTCTGTGTGTGCTTGGGGTTTTTGAGGGTAGTGAAAGCCTGCCAGCATGTGTGAGAGTACTCTGAGCCAAGATACTTGGTAAGGTGAAGACACTTCTCATAGCCAGATTAATTTCTCTGTCTCCACAGGCACCCCAGAAAGCTCACCACCACCATGGCTGCTGGCCTGGAGAAAGCCTGCCACCGGTGCATATCTAAAATTGCCAGCAATGGTAAGGCACTTCTGGTAGCCATTGCCTCATGGCTACCCTCAAGCAGCCCTGTTGCTAAGCCAAGTATATAAAGGAATCACAATGGTACCAAGTCCCACCTGAATCTTCCACTGAAGTTTCCTTTCCTAGATACTGTTGGGAACTGATGGAGTGTGCAATAGTAACTCTACCCTAACAGCAGCTGCCTGTTGCAGTATTTGAAGTATAGCAATCAGCACAAAATTTCAAAAAAGCATCACCATGTACCTAAATATGGGCAGCAACAGACAGCCTAAGAAAAATAATGTGTTTGCCTCCTCTCTGAAGTGTTACCTTACACACAGTGCAGCAGAAGCATCCACAGGGAAAATCACCTCATGAAGAGCAGCACAGCCAGCCTGGGAACAAACTCTTCTAGGAGTGATTCCCAACAAGCAAAACTGCTGCCAGCCTGTGTGATGGCACAGGGAGACAAGTCTGGGGATGGAATATGGTCAGGGATATCCCCCTTTCACCCAGTGAGATCTGGGACAGGTTATTCTCCCCCCTGCTGGCCTGCTCCCTGGCACAAGGGCCATCTAGGCGGGGGTATCCCCCATAAGCAGCCCCTTGCTGGGGGTTAAAAGCATCAGTTATCTGGGCAGAGGTTCTTTTGCATGACAGCCTGGCCTTGCTCAGGTTTTAAAGCACCTGGTTCTCCCCACCCAGGGAGGAGGGCACAGAGGGCTGTAATGAGCTGACAGCTGGTGAAACAGGCTGGTTCTTGCGCCCAGCAGCAACACAGCAGAAAGCTGACCTTGGCTGAGGCTGTGCAAGCTGCACAGAGGCACAGGAGAAACACTTCAGAGGTGGGGTTTTGTAAGATTAGGGAAGCAGTCTCCTCAGCAGGAGGTTAAAATCCATGGGTTTTAAAGCAGCTTACTCCTGCTGACTGCATCTCCTCTTCCCTCTGAGTTGCAAGTGCCTTTTGCTTTCACTTCTAGGCAGTAGCAATTTATAATTCCACTCAAATACAAGAAGAAGCAAACCCCTTGACCACTCATCATAACTGATACTTTACCCACACTAATTGCTGCATTTCCCAGTCTAGGGTGTTACCTTGGAGTCTTCTATATTCCTGATCTTTGCTTTGCCTGAAAGGCTCTTAAAGCTCAGAATGAACTTTTAGTAATGATTAAACCACTCATGTCCTTGCTGTCTTACAACCCGGCAGAGAAAATCAGGCCAAAGGGACAGAAAGATCAACCCAGGCTTCCCTGCAGAAACCTGGCACAGGTAGGGAAGGAGAGGATCTTTTCTGGCCCACTTTTTCATGCTCATCACTGCCCCAGGGGAAAGAAGGGCAGTGGAATGATGGAAAACCAGGGGTGCAGAGCATGCACCCTCATTATACCCTGACAAGCACCTGGGAGTGGAATTGGGACCCAGCTGGTCCCTGTGGGATCCCTCACATCCTGCAGAAAGGACATGCCGGGAGGATCTGGACTCCTCGGTGAATATCACAATTTAAAAGGTCAAAAGTGGTATTTTCTCTGATTTTTGTTCCTAGTGTCTATAAGCGAAATGTTACCATTCCCTGTTATTAAATTACCACTGGAACTTCAATAATAAGAGAGAAAATAATTAATCCTTTAGAATTTTTTTTAACGATTGGGATTAGTTCTGATCTCACCTATGCTCTTCTACACCAGAAGTACCCTCTTGGGTACCTGAAAAGTTACCCATGTGTGAGGAACTCAGAAATATCATTCCAGGAAAGTATCTTCAGGTTCTTATCATGCTTAAGTTCAAAATAAGCTCAGCTTTAGCTATGGATCAGCTAATGCATTCAAAATTGATTTTATGTTCATTAAAATGCAGTGATGCCTAATTTCACTTTTCCTCATCATCCTGTATTTATTTTTCAAAGACCTTTTCAGCAAAATCCACATTTGTACCTTTGGTCTGCTGGTATTGAAATAACTCCCAAGAGCTCCAAGAACCCACCTGCGGAGCAGCTTTTCATTCTTGGTGTAGCAATTTAAGTTCAGTCTTCAATTTACTGACCAAAATAAAAAAGTCTAATCCACTACCCTGGGTCTACTGCAAAGCAAACTGAATGGCTCTATATGTAATGCCTAAATATTGTTATAAAATTACTTCTGGAAATTATTCACAAGGGGCCAAATCCAGAATTTAGACCATGGCATAACTATAGTTCAATATCCAGAGGCATAATATAAAATCCAGGTTAGACACTGCAATATTGCTCAACCCCCAAGGCAGCTAAATTTTAGGTGATGTGATGCTGATATCTGGGTACCAAAGTTCTATATTGCAGTAATTCAACCCTGCATAACTAAGGAGTGGTGGAAGGCAGCAAAGAGCTGGTGGCCCTGAGCTGGGATTTGGTCAGTTTCCTCACACTTCCCCTGCCTCAAATGGTGGGTTTTTCCTTTTGGAGGAACTAGAGGCCTCCATGGGAATGGCTGTTTCTTACCCTGATCCCTCTAGTTTCTGAGTATCTAGTCTGGTCAAGGGATTCAGTCATGCCAGGGATTCCTGCCCTTCATCCCCAGAGATTATTCCATCAATATATCTCCTTGCTATGGCATTAGCCTCATAACCAGACAGTCTTTGGTTTTGCTCAAGGATATCTTATGTCGCTGCTCTTTGGATCACTCACAGGTCTGGTTTTGCATGCTCAAACCTTGCAGTTATTTTCTTATTTGGTGGTGGCCGGCCAAGCTGAACAGATATAATTCCTTTCCTTCATGTTACTTCATTCAAGTCTTTTCTGCATATCCCATCTGAGAGAGTGACATTTTCCTGTGACTTGAAAGCACAGAATGACAGCCAGTAATCACAGCTACCAAAATCACGGGCAGACTCATCTCTGGTCTGTAAAACACACAATCTTACTGGGGCTGGTTCCTCAGAAAGATCCATCGAGACTTTCTCTGCCACCACGACACCCCCTCAGGCTGCATTCTTCCTTTCCTCCAAGTGCCTATTAGCACTGCAGGGGATGCCTGCAGACGCCATGAAGGAATAAAACAAGGATGAAAATACCTGTTCCCCATGTGCACTCCAGCCTGTTACAGCACCCATGCTGCAGTGCAGCACACTGTGACACTGCTTGCTGAGCTTCTGCATTGCCATCTGCGCCTACCCCAGGGCATCAGCAGGCATGGGGCCCTGCCAACTGAATTTGACCCAAATTTCCTCACACCCAGACTGCTGGGAGTCAGGCCCCTTCAGAGCAGCATTCCCAGAGGGTGTTGTCCAAAGGGCATGCTTTGGCATATTTTCACACAGAGTTTTGCTCCTCAGCTTGTTCATGCAGATAAATCCTGGGGTAACTGCAGACTTTGTTTGGAAGCTGGAATATCTAATGTAAAAAAAAAAAAATTTCTTTTTTATCAAGAACCTGACAGACTACAGCAGCACCTGGGAGTGATAGCAATGTAACCAACACTTCATTTATTACTGTATTTATTATCAGAGAGCTTGTCACTCTACTGAGCAGCTTGCACTACAGCTGTATTAGAGGAGAGTAGGTAGATTGAGATTTATATTCATAAATAGCTGCTGAAAATCTTGTGAAGACTCTTACCTGAAAAGAAAGAATTTTTTTCTCTCTCCTCAAAGTAAATAGGGACAGCCTGAGCTGATCTGTACCTTTCAAGTGCTTGGAAAACTCGTGGCAGCAAAATGAAGTCTGAGGAGCCCACGGGTGAATTGGTGTCACCTCCAGTACTGCCTCCAGATGCCAAGCAAATGCCAGAGGGCAAGAGGCTGTGAGTGCTGAGGCCAGGCACAACAAGGGAGTGGCAGAGGAGTGGGAGGAGAGCTGCAGTGCAGGGGCATGCCTGTGGAAGATGCAAAGGCTCAGGCATCAGACAGAAGAGAGACCATGACATACAGCCAAAATGTCAACAGCGATCTCAAGCGTGTTTACTTCTGTGAGGAAATCCTGGCAAGAGGAATTCAGCCAAATAGCAGATTTCTATCAGCTGACTGTACTGCTGGGCAGGAGACACAAAACCTGCACCCACTGATCTAATTTTTGTGAGCACAGATTTCAAGGAACGTGCAAGATATTCAGCCACCAGTTCTCTTCTTCCTCTTGTGTGATCCCAGACACGAGCTCTTCCCTCCATCCATTTCCCAGCACGCTAGGATCCCACAGCCAGGCTTCACCAGGTGCTGCCCTGCTGGTACAGAGCAGTGAGGTCTCCTGCCTGATGCCCAGGCATCAGATACCCTTTCGAGGCATGCCTGGAAACACTTCCCTGGTTGTGCTGTATTTTTAGAGACTACCAGCCCTTTTTTGCTACTTACTCCAGGAATGGGGCCTGGGTGCCCTCTGGCCAGCCTGTGAGGCGATATCTCCGACACACAAACACCACCAGCCCCACATGCGGACCTGCCTGCAGAGCAGCGTCCTCTCTGCTGAGCCGGGCTGCCCTGCGGCAAGTGCCATTCTCTGAAGCAATTTGTCTCGGGACCAGAACGGGGCAGCAGAGCCCAGACAAACCCGGGCAGAGAATGCGTGTATGCCGGCTGAGCAGCATTCCTATGAAACCCCCACACATCCAGGGAAAATCAGCCTTCAGCGCTGCTAGCGACACTGAGGGTGGCTGCAGAGCCCTGCCAGTTGTGTAGGCAATTGTTGAAGAGTCTCACTTTGTTAAACATGGATCTGGAAGCCTTCCCAGACTATGCATCTGCCCCTCCAATTCGAGACCTAAGAGGCTGTAGCTGAATGGGGAGGTAATGAGTAAATACATTCCCAGCGCCTGCTTTGGAAGCGGAATTAATGAACCATTATCTCTTTCTCTTGAGCTCTGAGTGGTCTCTACCTCCCACTCCTCCCCTCCAAAAGCGAGCTGCTGGGCAGATGTCAGACACCAGCAAGGACGGACACCTGTGTGCCAGATGTGCAGCCTCGCATGCACATGAGCCCCCTGAGCTTTTTCCAGAGCTTGCTGCAGCATCCCTCCCCGGGGTCAGGCAAAACAGGCGCTGCACAACTAACAAAAGACACGATGCCTTCTCCTCCTCCTCGTCCTCCTTCTCCCGGGCTCCTGAGCACTTCCCTTGCAGCAGGGACAGGAGGCAGCTGCGAAACCACAGGCAGAGGGGTGACTCTGCAGTGACAGCACTTGTGGCCATACCAGGCAGTCGGTGCAATGCCTGCAGACCTGAGCAGCACCCCTTTGGGCACCAGATAGCTGGGTCCCCCAGCCTCTGGGCACTGTTTGCTCAGAAATGATGTTGGAAGCCCAACTCATTTACAATACCATCACTTCTTGATGTGAAAGAATAGTCTAGATAACGGCAAGAGGAGCTAGCACAAAATGTGACGTGGTGTAAAGGGAGGTGAGCTGTTCTAATGAGAGGCTGTCAGTGGTTGAAAGAGCTTAGTCAAGTGTAGGACACTATTCAAGCAGAGGAAGAATTTCTGTATTATGCAGCACTCGAGAGACAGGAGTCTGAGCAAAAATGAGAGAGAGAGAGGGAGGGAGACTGGCCGACAGGGAAAGGAGGAGGGGGTGGCACAAAGGAACAGAAGTGCTTTCTTCAGCTCAAAATACCCTCAGTATCCCCCAGTTCATGGAGATAACAAACATGCTACTTCTGAGAAAGATGTCTCTCAAGGGCTTAAGTGTAAGATCCTGGTTCTCTGTGGAGAAAACATGAGCAGCATGTGGGGGATGGTGTGTTCCCAAGAAAAGTGTCTGCGAGTCAGAAAGCCTGGTGGATCTGCTCTGAATTTTGATGCTGTTCCTATGTCTTCTCTGTTTCTCCTTGTGGAAAACAGAGGCAGTGATGCTGTCCTTTTTCTCTAAGGCAGCCTGAGGGTGGTATTTTGGCAGTCCTGCAGAATTTTCCAGAGCAGCACTGTCCGCAGGGCGCTGGCAGTGTCCCTGCTCCTGCACGGCCTGGGGGACACCGTGCACCTTGCAGAGGTTGCAGTTCTCTGGCATGGGGAACTGCAGGACACAGCTTACCCAGGGAAAGGGCTGGTCCCAAGCCAAATCCAAATACTTGCTCCAAGATTTTTTTTGCAAGCCTCCAAGGAGATGTCCTACTCCTTTTCTTATCTGTCCTCCTCTCAGCCCCTCTGCAATCTATGCCCACCTGCACTTTGGCACCCTTAAGGACCCACTTGCAGCCTGAGCCATTTCTGGGAGAGCTCTGAAGGGACACTTGCCACAGAATGTCCTCATTATATTTTACTCTCATTTGGCAGGGCAGCGTTTCACTTTAATGTTGCCAAGTGCTCATGATTAGGCACAGAAGTGACAGCTCTTGTGAGACAGGCTGCTCACACTGCTCTAGACACTGCTGTCCCTCACCCACTGGGAAGGTAAGCACTCATCCTCTGCAGCATCCGGCTGTGCAGGGGAAACATCAGGGCTCAGATACACCAGCAACTCTCCAGGGAGTCAGTAAGCCCCTCAGATCCATTCACCTGCAGGGAGAGTCAGTGTGCACCCCTAAGAGCATCCTTCCACACAGCTTAAGATGATCTAGCCCAATGACAAATCCCACTCCATGCAGCAGCACTGCTGCCTTTGTGCTTGCAAGCTAAGCTGGGTCAGGAGTTAGACCAGCCAGAAACCATTCACATCTGTGATAAAGACAGTTTATTTAGCTATCAGTGAAAAGTAAGTGGAATGGCATTAAAGCTGCTATTTGCTTAGCAAACAGATATGGCTCATCAGTTGCCATGGATTAGCTGATGCAGAATTACTTGTTACTGCACAGTCGCCTGGCAGTGCCTCTGAAAAGGATGCAGGATAAGGCAGCAGTGGATGACTCCTTGCCCTTGGATTAAGACAAGCTGCAAGTAATAGCTTCAAAAGCAGTTTGTGTCTCTCACTGCATCCTGGAAGTGATAAAACATGTGCTGGTCTCACCACCGCAAATACTGCACCACGCAGGTGATATTCCCACCCCATCAAGTGCACTGTATTTCTTCCTACACAATTGTCTGGATTTACAGAGCATCTGTAAAGAACTGGATGGAAATGCTGGCCTCTAAACTTGAACTAGCCCAAATAACACTGTCTTTCTTTTCTCCTTCACAGCATGCTTTATATTTGGGCTCCTCGCTTTCCTTGCCTTACCACTGTCCATGACTTTTATAGGTAAGTTGACAACTAAAGTAAACTGAAAATAGAAACTTCCTGGCACTCTGTGGCAGGTTAACATATCTGGTGGAAGAAAGGAACTGGAAAATTCAGGGTTTCCAACTGTTAAACCCCTGTCTTGGAACTTTAGCTTCAGACAGAATCTCAGCCCACGCTCTGTATCAGGAATGAAGGAGTACTTGAATTCTGACCCTGTTTATCTTAAAAACCCCTCCAGTGTGTTTTACCTCAAAACCCAGCTTTGTCTGTGGGAGGAGGCTCAGAATCTGACATATGAGAAGATTTCATTACTCAGGATCCCTCTGTATTAAGTACACTGCAAAAAATTGTAGAAGCATAGTGCTGGAAGGGAAAAAGAGATGCTGTAGGCTGCTATTTCTCCCTTTTTGAAAGTCAGACCTGGTTTTAGGCTGATCTGCCCTCGAAGGCTGGATTTGTGAGTAGCATTTCAAGATCAAATATTTAAGAAAGGAAAATCCTTTCAGCAGCAGAATTTTATACCTTTTTAAACTGCATAAGGCCCCTCTTTCCTTAAGCATCACCTTTCCCTTACCATTAACATAGATCTTTGTTTTTTCTGTAACACTTCATTGCTCCCTTTGGGCCTTTCACATCCTCCATATGGGTTGTGAACCCCACTTGAGAAACATCAACAACAGTGGAGACACCAATCCACCTCTCCTTTTAGACAGGCCCATGGGTTCGCAGCATCCCTGACAGATGTCTGACTTGCCCTTGCTCAAGGAAATTCCATGGCTTCTCAAGGAGACTATTTCAACATTTTATTGCTCTCAAAGACAAAATATTTTTCCCATATCTAACCGAAATCTTCCCTATGGCAAATGAAACAGATTACAGTCTGTCCTGCCCACTGTGGTCACAAAAACATATTGGTCACTGTCCTACTCAAGAGATCCTTTGAACTGTTTGAAGGCTGCTATTATAACCCTGCTCCATCTTCTCTTTTGTTTTCCCAGAGGTCTTAAAAACCTAATTCTTTCATCCTGACCTCACGGGTCACTGCTTCGGTAGCTTTTTTTTTTTTTTTTTTCCATTTTTGCCTCCCTCCTTTGACCTCTGTGCAAGTATTTTTCCTTATTAATAAAAGAATGATATAACACAGGCCTCCAACTGAGACCTGAGGAATAAGCAGTGCAGAGTAATTAGCTCTTCTGTTTAACATGCAGGATTTCTGTAAACACACCTCAAAATGAAACATGGTCTCTCTGCATCAACCCATTTCCTCCCAAATTTAGTTTATGGTGCATTGTAAACCCAGATGTTTTTTGGCAGTGCTGCTCCCTACCAGACATACCTCGTTTTTTATTTACCTTGAAGTTTCCTCCCCAACACACAGTGCTCAGCTCTATCAGCTTTTGTCTTGTAGATTTTGAATGCCTTTTTCCAGTGTATCCAGATAATTTTGAATTTAAAGTCCTCAAGAGCCCTTGTCTTTGAGAAGCTGCTCACCTGGTGCCTCGTTCCTCATGAAGGATGGTCCAAAGGAACTCCAGATGCAGATGCTGAGGGCAAGCTGCATCCCACCTGGACTCAGATTGTGTGCATCCACAGCCAGGCTGAGCTCTGTGTGTTGTCCTTGCAGAAAAGGAAATTCCCACACCCTCTCTTAGGTGTCTGCCTTGACATGAGGTGACTTTTAAGGCAGTTGGGATGCCTGGCCCATTGGCATGGATGGTTATCCAAACCCACATAATAAGTGTTCAGCTGGTTCAGTGTTCCCTTAATCTGGGGCTTTCAAAGTACCACTCATGACTATGGTGGGATTCCAATTAGGATGTCCTAATTAGGAACCAGGGAGTTCAAATGAGGGATTGGGGAGCAATTTGGAAGTAGCAAAATGGACTGAACTGCTGCATCTCAACACTTCTGCTCTTATATTTATCCATGACTTAAGATTGCTATTTATCCCTTAAGAAGATTCTAGCTTTAGCTTTTCCTCAGGCTGAATATGCCTGAACTGTGAAATAGGGATGGGAAGGTATAATACAAAATGTGGTATGGTTTCCATGCATACTGACATCCTGCCTTCTGGAAATGAATCCAGGTCTGGAATCTGACCACTTGCAAATAAGATTTCTCAGGAATATTTCACAGTATCTTTAAGATCAGTGAGAAGTGGAAAGTCTATAGTAAGATATTAGCCTGGAGCTCTGGATATCTCCTGCATCAGATACAGAGCCCTTTTTTCCCCCACAACTTACTGAAATTAAGAGATAATGTCACTATAATGTAGTGTTGTCAGAGGATATTGGTTTCCTGCAGCTCCATATCAGCAAAGGTATTTTTAGGAAAATGAAATGTCAAGGAAAATGCTGATATTTATTTTCCAAGCAAAATCCTATGATTTTCTGATAATATTCTGTTACCACAATCTCAGAAAAAAACTTGCTGATGTGCCTCCAGTCATTTTGGCTCTTGCTTCCTACAGAGGAAAACTGTGAGGTAAAGTACTTGTTCAAACTCAGAGATGAATAACAGGCAGCCCTAGTAATAATTACACCCCAACATCATACACTCTTAAAATTCGATATTGCTGTAAATCACAGTATAATTCAAGATACATAGAAAGGACTCAGCATATTTTCCATGCTGCAGACTTGTGACATCACTTAAGCCATAGATTGTTTAGCAGCTTTTTCACTTTTACTGGCAGAGAAGATCCCTTTTTTTCACTGAACACTCCAAAGATATAAAGATTTATTTAAATTTTTTTTTAGTTTCCGGGACAGTGAAGGATTACTCTCAATAACGCGTTCTTGTATGTTGTCCAGAGTACCTTTATATACAAAATACCCCAAGGGTAGCTAAATCACATTTGAAAGCTGATGACATGGGTTTTTTTAATAAGCAGCCTAAATTGCCTCCTGTTCAAGTTTAACCCAGTACTACTCCTCACACTCAACACCAAATAATTCCTCAAATCTCAAATGCTCCTGAGATTTGTCTGAAGCCTATTCTCTTACTCTGTGCCTTTACGTGGGAACCAGTTTTGTGCTTTAGCAGTAAGTTGTTTACACAATCTTTCCTTGCATTCCAATCCCTCACCCAGTCCCCTGGTTTGCTGACATGCTTTCTGATAAAATGGTGTCCAAAAGCAATTTCTTTGAGATAAATTCTCTGCAGCACCTAGATCCAAGTGTAAGGCCCACAGTCAGGGCTCGACTGGGGTCTGTGCTAAGTGATGGCAGCTGCAGCCATCCACGAGGAACACCTGAAAATGGCCTGGCATGTTGAGGTCTCTGCCTCCCATTAGGAATAAAGTTGTGTAGTGGGCACCAAAGAGTGGATCAGCCTTGCTATACAGCAGCCCTTCTTTCCTGTGGGTGTACTCAGCCATTTCAGCTGAGAAGAGTAAAGCAGCTAAAAAGCGGCCAATGCTGCAATGACCTTCATTCTTCCTGACCCCTCATCTCATGGATAATCATGAGTCACAAGGACACTTGGTAGCAATCCTTTATGGGCCATGCCAGAGCACTGCCCCAAATGGTGCCCTTAGAGAAGCCATTGTCCTGTTTGCCCACAAGTGCTCTTTCCACTTGCTGAACCCTGTGTCCTGGATCTCACTGCAGTGTTGTTCTGTGGTAGCCAAGAGGTAAAATGTGCAAGTACCTTTGCTTTCCCAAGCCTCCCATCTCTTGTTTTTTCCCCTTTGGATGCTGCTCAGGCTGCGTCTGACCTTGCACAGGTCTTTGGTTCATTCATTTGGACTCCTCTGCTGGTCTGTGTTGTGGTCAGGCTCAATTGCTTTTCACTCTGAACCACAGATTGCTCTGGCTTGCAGAGAGCACTGCAGTAGAAGCAGACCTTTGATCTCTCATGGTCCATATATCCCATCTCTAGCAGTCAAAGGAGAACATATCTGTTGCTTCTGGGAAAGAATCTGGTTGCTTTCCAACAAGTTTTGGTGCTCCCAGATAAACCAAACACACGCTGTGTGAGAACTGATTGGCACATTTGCTGATTTTACTGTAACAAATACCAGTGCCCATCTGCCAACTGTAGGTCCACATTTCCTATTCACACCTTGGGGTGTATTTTTCAAGTTACTACTGTATCACCTGCTTTGACCTGCTCTTTTGCTGTCATATCTGTCTGCAGTATTCTCCCAAAACCTACAGAGTGCTGCTGTCACTCAAACCCTTCCCAAGACTCACTGATATCATGTGTTATATATATATTAAAGGATTCCATAATAGATTTGTCTGGGAAAGAGAATCAGAGCAGCATGAGAAAAAAAAGAAAGGCATTTTTTCTCAGCTTTTTTTCCCCCTCAAACTGAAATCTCAGTTAACACATTGGAAATAGAAATTGCCTATTGCCTAGGTTCCTAAACTGAAATATATTCCCAGTGATCCCTGGCCAGCTGCTTTTGTGGCAGGCTATTAGATGGCCAAGAACTTTGGAAATCTTGGCAGCAGCTTTCTGATGAATTTGATGTAATTTGTGACAATTTCCCTGCTGCTCACCCCTGTAAAGCTGGGAGTCTGATCAGGTCCCAGTGTTACATAGTGGCAAAATGGACAAAAATCACAGCTTTGTAATAAGGATGAAAAGGGAGAGAGTCCAAATCCATCTAAGTGCAGCCTTTTTCATTTATACAAAGGTTGGTAATAAATGTTTAGTATAGAAGAGTCCACAGCCCTTACACACAGGGGATCACAAAACTGCAGACCACAAAACACTGTCCCATGTCCTGTGACTAAAGTCAGACCTGTAGCAAGCAACCACAATCCACAGCACCTGTGTTATGCCATGCAAAGAGTGCAGGAGAGGTTCAGGACATGAGCAATGTTATGGACCAGCACTAGCAGTGGATTTGGTGGGCAAATTGACAAGTTAAAGAGGATTACAGCTATATAAAAGAAAAACCAAACCAAAACAAAAAAACCTCCAAAACAACCAAAAAAACTCCACCAAACCAAAACCCACTGGTACTTCTTTCCTAATTCCTCCTATTCAGTGTAGTTCTGAAAATGAAGGCAAGATGTTTCACCTGAGAAATGTTTAGCACTAAGACTTGCACATTCCTTTTAGTTGCAACTAGGCAACGTCAATTATTCAAAGAAAAGTCAGAATATCTCCTTGCAAACTATTTATATAGCAAGAAGAAAACAGAAAATCCTTTCTACCCTATGCAACTGATCTGTCAAAGCCCTGAAACATGGGATCAATACCAATAAAATTACAGTGTAATGAACTGTAAATGTTTAAAATTTCTGAAGATGCCATTGGGTAAGAGACTTGGGCAGGGAATTCATCCCGGCTAACTTACAGGTATCTACAGCTGGCTGTCTGGATTCCTTGTATAGCCATGGAGAGACAGAAGCCCTTTCAGGAACCAACTCACCCGACCCATTTCAAATGCCTATCTTAATAAAAATGAATTGAATTTTACAAGTGCCTATTTCTCCCTATTGACTTCAGAGTGTAGAAAACTAGTTCACGTATGGATGCCTGCATTGCAGACATCTATATTTGGACAGATGAGTTTCACTGCCACAGACCTGTATCACAAGCTTCAGTCTCTACTGCCAGCAACATCCTCACACAGCCATACATTTTCTTCCCTAAAACTTACCCAACTTTCTCTTTCTTGCAGTAGATTTGAAGGTTGCCAGGGTCCTCAGCTCCATAACAACCAATTCTTTTATCCTCCAGCAACCCAAACAGCTTGGAAACTTGAGCTTTCACAGCTCCCTATCAGCTGCCGGGAAAGCTAAAACAGTTCCAGGTGCACCCACGGGTATTGGCTCCCAAGCTTCCAGGCATCTGACTCAGGAACATGCCATACTTATAGGAACTAATGAGCAGGAAAATCCTGGGGGAAGTTTATCAGAATTCCTTCTTTTTGTAGTTTTGATTTTCAGTGAATTTTCTACCGCTGATTTCCTGTCCAGCTCAGTCAATGGTTCATTTAACAAAGAGCTGTGGCTGAAGCTAATGACCTCTATATGTGGCTGCAATAAGTGTTGCCAGAAAATAGTAATGTTGGATTTGCCTTTGCTATCTCTCTTCCTTCTCCTGCCTTTTGCTTGTTCATGGCCCTCACTCCTCTAGTGAGGAGTGCAGCCCCCTTTTAATTCAGCCCCCATTTCAGCAGACACAGGATACAAGTCTTGAGTGTAAGCAAGACATTTCACTTACAGCATCTATAATTCTCGCTGTACAGCTTGTTGCAATATCTGGTCACTTGAGATAACAAACATCCATTTTTGCCATTCAGGAATGAAGTTTTTGGAAGACTGCCCAGTTCAGCCACTGATTCCCTTGTATCTGTTGGTGGGTGGTGTGATTGGCAGCTTAAAGGTAATGTGCCTTGTGTGTGAAAAATATTTTGTGTGACTCGACTTTGACTTGCTAGTTAAGACGTGATGATAGCTCCACACAGCCACATGCACCCAGTGCTGGAGAGCTACAGGATCAGGCTGTGCTTGTTCCAGCACCAAAAGCACCTGTCAGTCAAGTGAGCTGCTAATGAGCTCAGCATTGTCCCACACATTGTGGTGTGACTTTCTCCTGCACCACAGCATCTGTGCTACCATCCCTGCTGAGGGAAATGACTTCTTAACATTGTTGCCTGTGGTAAATGGGGTCCTTTTTCCACAAGCAATCCTCCAAGCATGTCAAATCTTTCTCCATTACTTTCATACAGACAGGACAAAAAGCTAAGTTACTCTCCTTGCTTTGGGAGTACTACAAAACCACTTGTGTTTGTACATAGTCCTTCACAAGTTCAATTTACTCCCACTCTGACCTGGCCAGAAGTAAATGACTGCAGCAGAATCACTTCCTTCCAAAGTAAATATATCCCTGCAACACAGCAGGGCTTATTAATCTAGATGCACCATTTTCTAACCACAGCTATCTGTCTTCTAGTGGACTGTGCTCACTTATATCTTTGCTGAGCTCCAGTCTGGCAGTTTGACAAGGAGAGGCACCCTCATACCTGTGATATTCCCTGGTCACTATAAAGCTATATAACTCTGCATTGACTCTAAAGGGTCGTCCCTCTTCTGACAGTCCCTTTGCAGATGGTGTTAACTGGCTTTCAGGGAGCATGGAGAGCCTCACCACAACAATTCTAGGCATTTTCTTCGCCAGGACTGAAAAAAGGAGGGTAGAATCCTACTCTGCAGGTCTCTGCATTCACTGCACTCTTTCAGAGTGGTAACCCAACAAAACCACAGTACATCACTGGGATATGAATCATGCCCTCCAAGGACCTTTGATCAGTAAATAAGAAAATGGGGAAAAGAAAAAAAAAGAAAGTGCTTAATCTTGTTACAAGAAATTTGCTGCGTTGTGAGTTCTACTGGCAAATGCTTAGTCATTCGATCACACCAGTGGACTTATATGTATAATCAAAGGTTCATTTAATAATAGTTTAGAAAATATTAGAGCAGAACTGAAAGGCTAGTGGACTGAAGCTTTCATAAAAAATGTTGACTCGTTCTTAGCCATTTCTGTTAAAAGTCAGATTTTTTCACTATAACTAAGGTGGCAAACGGATCAGTTAACATTGATGCTGACATCAAATAATGCTTTGAATTTTACTTCAGTTGACAGCAGTGCTGCTTACTTTGCAGTTTGGCAATGCATTTGGTCAGAACTTGATTAGCTTCACCCACGTGTTATCTCAGCACTTGGTCTGCAGGCAAATTCAAGTCTCTCACCTGTCTGAACTGTGCCCTCTGTTCTGTTCACTGGACTGCACTGACTTCATCCAGCAGTGCCCTTGCTTGAGCTCTGAAAGTTAAAAGGTCACAGAATGGGTGCAGGATGAAGTCTGAAAGGATGCTGTCCCATGATGGACATCATCTAACAGCAAGTCATTCTAGCCCAGATCTGTGCAGTCCGTAGGCTCCTCATCTATTTCTTTACCACCTCCAGTCTTTTAAAAAGCAATGGTAACTGTTCACCAAGGCAACTGAACCATCCTAGAGCACCCAGAGAGGCCTGTTGAATTCATGCCATGCTGCTCCATAAATGTATGTTCAGCAGCTAGTAACAATGTGAGCAACTGCCAGCAATTTCTTCAATCACGCTTGGCAAGGCAATATCCATAAGAATGAAATGCATTTTCTGTGAACTACTTAAATGCAGTTGAGATTCATAAATCTACCTGGGAGGTCTCTCTGACTGCCTCAAACCCAATACTCATCTGCCATTTAACCCCATTCTCACTGCTGAGCTTGAGAGAACCTGAGTGCTGAGCTGAAAGCTAAGAGGACTGAAGCAAAGCCACAGGCACTCTCATGCAGAAAACTCAGAGCCACTGGCCAGGCAGGTTTATCCCTCCAGTGCCTCATGAGTCTGTGTAAAACCAATGTTCATATGAGAAGATGATAGTCTGAGCAAGCCTGTTGCTTTGAGTGCTCAGCTGGATGTGAGACATCAGTGGAAACACCATTTTTTTGCCTGTGTTGGTGCTCGGACTTTAAACTGTGTTTCTCAAAAACTGGTAACAACATCTGGGCTGGAATACCAGTTGGTTTTGTAAACAGATATTTAATAATTTATATATAACCAAACAGTTTTCCAGAGAAGAGTAAGAATAAGAGAAAACTCTGTATTTCTGGATTCTTTTGCTAAGCTTTTCCTATTGAAAATGGGGCACATGGAATAAAATCTGAGCCTGGAAAAATATACACCCAAACAGGTTTTCCTTGGTCAGTGTTCTGGAGAAAGAAGAGTGTAAAATGAGGGATGCTCTTCTCTTTCATTTCAAGCAGAAAAATGAGCACAGACTATAACTCTGTGAAAGAGAACATGAAAGAGAACCCCACTGAATCTACCTGTGTTCTTTGTATTGTCAAGACTAAATGAGAAATCCAGGCATCACTGATGAGTCCTACTGCATTTCCCTGTATACCAGCCCTTCCTAACCACCTGGCATCATGGCATTCCACATATTTCTCTGCTAGTTTTAACTGAAGGCAGGAATGGAGCAGTCTGGGAAAATGGCACTTAATTGAAGAAAATTTGACAACAGTACATTGCAAGCATCTAAAGCAATTTCTTTGAGGTTTAAGTCATAGTCTATACGCTTTATAATTTGCTATAAACTGATCCAACTTTATAACCATGGAAAAATAGTTAGAAGAGAAAAATCTACCCACTACAAGACAGGAACTACACTACTTAAGTCATTTAGCAGTTACTGTAATCTGTTCTTAAAAGTCTCCAGCGTGGGAGCTGCTGCCATCTCCCTACACAATCTGTTCTCATGCCTTTCCATCAGCAATTTTTTTCCAGTGTATGACCCCCACTGGTGAATAACCTACAAGGAAAAAATGCATTATTTTCCAGCAGTACCTGCCTCATTTGTGGCTCCTTAACTTTCTGTTTTCCCACATCCAATTTTATTTGACCCAAAGACTGGCAGTGGCCAGAAGGTGTTCAGAGTCTCTGCAGCCACTTTACTTATTCCCTTTTCTTCCCCCATGCCTCCAGGTGACTCTCCTGCTGTACGACTCAACCAGGATGAGGCAGCTGCTTTCCAAGTCTGTTGTGATTGATGATGATGATGATGACGAGTATCCCTGGAGGCAGAATGCTCACAAGTACTACGTCCATCTAACCCTCAGCCTTTTCCTCTTTCTCTGGTTCATTCTTGGGAACTACTGGGTTTTTTCTGTGTATCGGCCAAATTTCATCCCGCCTTTTCATCAGCCTCAGGATTACTGTGACAAAACCCTGTACATTTTTGCTGTTGGTGTTCTCATTATTAGCCATACTGTTCTGTTTCTCCTTATTTTCTGTAGCTGCTGCATATACTGTTTTTCCAGGCAAAGATTCTCTTCTGAGGAAGACTAAATGCTACATAAATAAATCTCCATGTTTGGGAAAGCGTGTACAACAAAGAACAGGCAATAATTCACCCTTGTGTACATCTTTGTTGTATGATATATATGTGTGATAGCAGTCAACTTCAAGGGGGAATTAAAAAAATACAGTGCCATCTGGAAATAGCTATGCTGAAATACAGCATAGTCTATGCAAAAATGCTGCTGCAGGTGCCAGGGTGTACTCCTGCTAACTTTTACATCCCATTTTGAATTCTGGATGTTTTACCAGGAGAGAGCTCTTGCAGATGGCAAATCCCTCTAAAACCAGGTCCCCCTTATGCTGTATATAGCACAGTACATCTTTGCCTATAAAAGTAGCCATGTTGTTCTCTTCACTGGGATCTGAACATCTCCACACAGTCTTGCTGAAGTTTGCTATTGTCCCTGAGGGAGCTGAGACAAAGGGTTGTACTCAGGCCACTTTGCAAAGCACATGGACTCTGCGGACTCTGGCAGTAACTGAGATGCTCACTGGAGAGCTATTCAGCCCCCTGTCAGACTGGCCAGTAAGCAGCTGTGATAGCAATAGGAGCTTGTATAAAATGCAGCCTGAATATGGCCCTCAGGTCTCTTCTGAAGTTGGACTAGGAAGTATCTATATCTAACTTTGGGGCTAAAGCAGACAGTATGAATACATCCATATACGTCCAATATGTCCAAAGTGAGCCAAGTCTGCTTTGCAAGTCTTTGGCAGAACAAAGAACTGAGCTACTGAGTGTCAGACTGGTGCTTCAACAGGGCTCAGCATTTCCCAGTCAGGGGATACACTTTCTATAGCAGTAATTTGTCAATACCACACTAACACAAAAATTACTGTCGAACCATTGTGATCAAGTTCATAGAAAAACTGATAATGTTACCTTGGTATTTTGAATATAGACCACAACAATAAGACTAGGGTGGGGATGTGAGAATTTCAGGCAGATGTACTCTCTACAGCAGTTCTCTGGTTGTGGTGTGAATGTACATTTGATTTGTTCATCTTGGTGCTGTACATATGAAAATCTGTACTTAATGGACAGATGTAATGCAAGCAGTTTTTCAGTCAGCAGCAGCAGCAGCTTTAAAAGCACCAGCATGCAGAGAGACAATTTTTTTTTGTGACATGTAATGGAACAACCCCAGAAGTGGTCCTGGTAGATTGTTTTTTCATGTGTTGATGAATGCGGTGTAAAAGTGCTCTTTCTGCTTTTGCTCTTATGCACTTATGTCAATGTGGTCAAAATGGAGGGGCTCCCCTCTAGATGAGCTTGAGGGCTGCCCAAGACACAGGAAAAGATGTGTGTTTTGTGTATTTTGTCTGTTAAAACCCACACAGCTGAAACTTGTGTTTTAGAGAAATCCAAAAGGGTTATAAAATGCCTGTGAAAAAGTGAGATATGTAAAAGACCTCAACAATATGCCACAGCTGAACAGGATCTGCTCAACCATCCTTCCTGGGTCTGAGCCTGAAAGCAGTGTAACATCTGTGGGAACCACCTGTCTTCAAACAAGAACATTTATCTCACCAGCTATTGTATAGATAAGCCTGCATTTGGTTTACAAGGATTTTAATTCAGGCCTCAGATTTATGAACTGTTTATTTCCAGAGAACTAATCTTAGAAAGAAGGTACGACAAAGATGAAATAATCTGACATGAGGGCAGTATCAGTGTAGCATTCCCTTGCTCTGCAGCATCAATTCAGGACAGGTCACAGCCAGGCTGCCCCATTCAGAAATCCATGGAATAGGTATTACTATTATTGCTGGCTTAGGCCACACACAGTTTTATGTAGGGAAATGGGACCAGTGGAAATCTTTCCTTTTATTTGTGGGCCTCAGATTGGATCTGGGAAAAATCACTGGTTATTCCCCAAGGAGCTGCTCCACCACACTCTCCACTGCCCCTCACACTTTTCTGAAACATAACTGCTGCCAATGGTGAAATACTAGAATTCATCTTTCCCACCACAAACATTACAATGGCTCACCACTTGGGCTTCAGGATTTCAGGGTTCAGTTCTGAACTGATCTATGGGATTTTACCTTCAGTGGAGAGGGTAATCTTTCATTTGTTAAGAACCCAAAATGTTTAAGAAATTGCCTATCAGAAGGCATAACTCCATCCATCACTCAAATGCAACAGAGCAGCTGTTTATCATTACACAGGAACTTTACCCAGAAGCCTGGAACAGCCATAAAACCAGAAAATTATACTCAGTTGTCAGTGCAAAAGAAATTTAACAAAAAAGTAGCTCCACCCACAGGGCCCCTGTACAAACTTCCCAGTTGGAAAATACTGCTAGAATCACTCTTAATCACCAGGAATTAAGGGCTAATACTCCTGACCTAAGTCTGAATTGACTGTAGTGACCTCACAGCAAGTGATGATGTTCTCCGATTGGAGCAAATAAGAGGAGATTTTAGTTCGGCCCAGACGAGAAGAGCTGTAAGGTGACATTGCCTTGTGTTTGCTGTGTGCTTTCGTGAGCATGGTTACAGCAGCTTGGCAGATGTGCAATGATTTGCCAAACCTCAGCCACACAACAGTAAACCTGAGGCCTATGCCTCATTCATGGAGGCTAAGACTGACTGATTCTCCACAGTCTGACATGGAGGATTAATTCTTCAGGTATGAGACCCCAGGGCATTCACTGACATCTTGGGAAAGTGCTGCTAAGTCACTGTGCTAGTGCTCAACACCTGGTTGGTACAAACACAAATTTATAGAGGTTGTATTAATGAGGCAAAAGACATTTTTTAAATATTTTGAAGTTGTACAAAATGAACAAAACCAAAACACTTTGCTACAACCAAGAGAGAAAAATTCTGCACTGAGAGTATTTACTGATAGTATTGCACTGATAGTATTTGATGTATCTTGTGTACATCAATATGCTATGGCACATATGAGTGAGAACATCAACACCTCCAAAACAGTTGGAGTCATCAATTCTGTGCTCAAAGGGATCTAAGCATGCCTTCTGCACTTTCAGCAGACTGGAATCTTGCAGGACTGGAGCAGGGATACCTGGTTTGGACATGTGATTAGATACACCTGAGTCACAGTGACTCTTCTGACCCACCAGCTGCACAGTTTCTCTCAAGTTGCCCCAGTAGCACTCAAATCTAAATGAAAACAGTTTAATTGAAGACACTTTATCTCACTTAGGGGCAAGCCATGAACGTGTGCATGGTCCACAGCACCTTAACTTGCAGCAGTACTTTGAATTGCCACAAACTGATGGTGTCCCAGACAAATGCTCAGGCCCTACAGAAGTAGGTGTGATACCTCAGCAAACAGCTGTGGGGGAATTAAGTCATTACAGCCCAAAGGTCAAGCAGCTGAAAATACAGTCTACACCTTAAAATGTTTAATTTGAATTTTGCCACTAGACTAAAATTACAAATTGAAAATGTTAATTTTCTTCCCACAGTTATATAAATGTCTACTGAAAAACTGAACAAAATACACCCTTAAGCTAATTATTATGCACTCAACGTTGACTACAATGCAGGAAACCAGCTCTGTTTCAGTTATATCAGCTCCCCTTCTTGAGAAGGAAAGCTCTATTTCCAGTATTTAAAGGAAAAAAATATATACATTACTTCGATGGCTAGGATAGCCAGCTCACTGCTAGTTGTGAGTACTACAGAAATCTAGTAGTATGAAGACTCAAAGACAATTCTGCCTGCACACACTGACTCTATACACACACATACAAGTGCACTGTCAGGAGCCATGAAATAAGTTACACTTATTACAGTTTATTGCCCACAGTATGTTTGTCCTCCCACTACTCCACCTTCTTTAGCAACAGGCATAAGATTCCAAAGCTCTAGAGAGTAGCTTTCCACAGCTATTTTAGAAGCAGCAGACAGACAAGCAATCCTTCACTCCAAATGTTGAACACAGACAGCTCCTACCTGCTGGCCCAAAGAAGAGAGAAAAGAAGATCATCAGACGTACCACAGACCTCATCTTCTCAGGACTGGAAACCAGAACACTGTGCAGTCAGAGAAGATGATCTCTCTCACAGAGCACTTGCTCTGAGCTTTATGAGGTCCCAAGACATCAGACTTAAAACTACAAGGTAACTGTGCAGAAAAAAAATTAACCTAGAATAGCTTCTGCTTCTTTGTGCCAAGAGCTGTTTCAAATGTCCTAGATCCTGAAATAGGAACAGTTGGTGTAAAAGTTCCTAAATGTTTTGACTTTACAGGCAAAGGGCTACAATGATGAAACTGATGATAACTCATATATATTGTACAACATTTTTAACTAGACCAGTTTCTGTAAGTTTTCTTGAATCTTTTCTCAGATAATTAATATTCTCCAAATTCTAGTTGGTAGGGACTTTGCATCACAAGGAGGATGCTTCTATTTCTACATGTAATACAGAAATGATTGTTACATCGGGACTGTGATTTGAAACTGTTGCTTGGTGGCATAGGTTTCTTCAGGTTCCTGTTCGCTGCTGGAGTAGATGCAGATCCCTCAGGTATCAGCCATAGGAAGAAACAGAAAATGTTTTTAGAAAGTATAGTACTTGAGGGAAAATAAAAAAGGCTGGCAAGAGCCATCTGATATTGCATAGTGCAAGGAAAGTGCTGAATAGAACAAAGTCATATTGAAAGATTTCTGAACAAATTGTATGGAATTTTGAGAAATCATGTATATGTGTTTGTAACAATGAATTTCTACCAAATGTCTCATTTGAACAAAAATGAGTGTAAGTGCATAAGACTATGTGACTGCAGTCTAAAAATTAAGGTACTTTACATTTACCAGTCATGATAATTTTAATCAAGCCTGCTGCAATTTTGCTGAGATGAATAGTTATATCAGAGACTGATTTCGCCCACAGATTTGAATCTCAGCCATATTGGCTCTTCTGTATGATTAGTAATACTCCAGCAAAGGAAGAATCCATGATTCCCTTCCCCATGCTGCAGAACAGCAGCTTAAATGTGAGAGATGAAAATTCACAAATCACCATACAAGGAAGCTTTCTTTTTTCAAGGTCCCCTTGATGCCCAGATGAGTTAGGTACCGGCATGTGGAAGGGAGCCTACAAAAAAGATGGAGAAAGACTTTTTAGAGCATGTAGTGACAGGATAATGAGAAATGGCTTCAAGCTGAAAGAGAGTAGGTTTTAGGTTAGATTATAGGGAAAAATTCCTCACTCTAAGAGTAGTGAGGCACTGGAACAGGTTGCCCAGAGAAGTTGTGGGTGCCCCATGCCTGGAAGTGTTTAAAGACAAGTTGCATAGAGTACTGAATAACCTGGTCTTGTGAAATGTGTCCCTGCCCATACCAAGGGGGTTTGAACCACATAATCTTTAATGTCCCTTTCAATGATATCTTATGGATTTGATTGCCAGTCCTTTTGAAAAATATTTAGCCTTTCAGTGTAATATGAAATGAGTACACAGGATGCAAACAGTGGAGAAAAAAAGTCCACTATTCAGTCTTATTCACAAGCTGCTATAAACAGCACGTTTTTATTATCACTGTTTACTTTTGTATTACTATTCTACTTCTGCTTCTGGATTTCACAACAGTAGTTCATAACAGACAATATTTATTTTCAGAATGTATCAGAAAAAAAGAGTTGCTTCAGTATTTTTTGTGAACCTGTTTTTTGTAAAAAAAAAAAAAAAGTGTCCAACTTGTCCAGGTGAAATAAGACTTTAAGTAAACAGGTCTGGTGCTTATTTGCATGGGAAGGTTTGGCTCCACAGCTTTGCGTGGATAAATTTCATATACCTCTGCAAGTTTTGTTACAGCAGCACAGGGACTGCTTGAAGACACAAAGCTTCAGACTGTTCCTTTGACATTTGAACCAAACAGCAACCATGTAAGAAGGTGTGTGTGTTCCTCTGCTTGTAGATACCTCTTGGAAGATAGATTCTACAAGACAACATCTGCAATTTGGTAACAACTGGGCTGGAATAAAATGCTAATAAGCAGGAAGATTTGTAGAAGAATAAAAAAGTGTAGCAGGACTCACCTGAGTTGATAAGCCTGTAAGCATTCCTGTCCAACAGCTAGTAGTAAGAACAGTAAGATCCAGAAGAAGAGCAGTTAGAAGAAAAACAGGTAGCTGAAGAAAATGTTAGTACAGAAAACTGCATTACTGCCACAGCGTAGCAACAAACATGTAGGCATTCAAGTATATTGTTTACTGTAGGAACATAAAGAATTTTTCAGTTATGGAAATCACAAAATTATCTTTTATTGACTAAAGAAATTATTCTCTAGGATGCATATCAACCATAACATTTCACTTTTATTACTTTGAAAATATTCCTAAGTCATCCTATTATTTTAAAAATAATTATATACACTTCAGCTTGCATAAATTATTTTATATATATAGGAGATTAACTAGGTTAGCAGCAGGTTTAGCTGCTTCTCCCAGCCAATTCTTTCCACTTTGGGAGGACACTAAGCAGCCCCTCTCTTCACCAGGACATGCCTGACCCTAGGAAGCCCTGCAGGCTTCCAGAGACCAAAAATCTCAGCATTTTATAAAGCAAATCTATACTTCTGATAAGGCACAGCATGAGATTCCCTTTACTGGCCCCTGAGCAATGAGTAATAGATATGATGACACACTGCCACACTTGTTCCTCAGTAATAAAAGGCTATCTGGTCTGGAAAGCCTGACTCTTCACTGGAAACAACACTGGTGATGGCAGCAGCTGGCAAACTTGGTGATGACTTGGGTACACAACAAAGGAAACACCCTACTGTTCACAAAACCACAACACAGGCCAGAACTTCCACCCTTCCCTGCACTCAGGATGAGCAGCTTTGCTCTCTCACCCTGCTACTACCACAAGCACTTCAGACACGTCCCCGAGACCTCAGGGGCTTCATGTTCTTCTTCGACCACTCACCAAACCCTCTCCTTCATCCAGACAACAGGACAAGTGTCAATTGCCTCTCCCCCGGCTGCTGACAGCTCTTGATTGCTATTACACTGACTGGGGCTGTGCCAGGTTTCTAAAGCACAGTCTTCAAGTGTTCTACAACCAGAGCTGAGGCCAGCATGGCAAAAACAGGGTTGGGAGCAGCTCCCACCACAGTGGCTTGCACACAATTGCCACTTCCTTTGGAAACCTGGCCCCAGTTAGAGACGCAGAGCTTTCCTGCAAACCTGGCCCTTAAAGCCTGTGCCTGTTCCCACTGCAATCAGTGGCAACTGAATCAGCTCTGATTGATTTAATAGGGGCAGGCATAGAGACTTAATTAGAAAATAAGTAACTGCAAGGAAAGGAGGGAATGCCCAACAGCCTGCCAGATCCCTGGAAGGAAGCAAAGGAGCCAGTTGTCCTTAAGACCAAGTTTTTAGCCTCTCACCAAAAAAAAAAAAAAAAAAAGAAAAAAAAAAAAGGAGAAAAAGGATAATAAAAGAGATTGGCAAAATGGCCTTGAAGCTGTTTTAAACATCTTGTATAATATATAATTGCTTTTCAGCTCTTGAGCACTCTACTTTTAGATCTGTCCCCTGGGAAGAAAATATGAAACACACTAAAATGCACAGCCCTTAACAGCAATCAGCATTTTCAACTTTCCTTTGTGCTAGAAGTAATTAAAACTTTGCTTAAAACTTCTTGCTATTTGACAGGTACAAAGACAAATCAAGTCTAAGGTATGTTTTTCATGTTAGCCCAGCTGAGTGCCAGAGAGGTATTTTTCATCAGCTCTTGTGTTTTAAGAAAATTGGGATCCTCAACTCATTACTCCATGAAAAATCCTAATGTCTGGAGGCTCACAGCCACAACACTCCAGAATTTTTCTGTCCTTGGAAGATTACCTGCAGTCATGGAGGGCTTGCATAACAGGCTTGGGGGCTATTTGTACACTGCTAAATGCCAGCACCAGAACACAGGACCACCAGGGCCAAGCCAAGCTGTGCAGTGTTAACCCTGGTGCATCCCCATCTGTGTTTGGGAAAAAAAAAACACCCTTTGAGCAAATTATTCACAATGATATTTGAGCTTGTTTTGGACAGAAGCATCTGCTTAATACCTACTGTGACCTGGGCATCAACAATCTTTACCTGTGGGCAATAAGAGGATCAAGGCCTGGGAATATGCAATGGAGCACTTGAGAGCATAGATATAGGAAAATAATTAAATTGGATATGTTTTATCAGGGATAAACACTGAGCTGTATTTATTAGCCTAGGTGAAGCCATTTTGTTCTGTCCTCAAATGAGGGAAATATTAGGAGTTCAAGAGTCTCTAGCTCTCCCACTTTCAGCTCTGTATGACACAAATATACCAGTTGCTGGCTCTGATAGGGGTCTGAGATGTAGGATGCCAATCCAAGAGAAAAAGTCTTTGTCTAAAAAAATCCCTCATGTTCAGAGCATCATCCTGTTGGAGTTAACTGCTAAGCTACCAGCAGTCAAGAATGAAACCAGAAGATATAAGTTTTTGAATTTCTAAAGCTCCAGAATAGGTTTTAATTCTGTTAACAAGATGTATCAACCTAGAATTCAGTACAGAAGGCAAGACATGCTGTCAAAACTTTTGAAGTGGGCAGAAATTTTGCCCATGAGAATACTGAGATGCAGGCCCTTCATTAGCAGCACCCAGCTCTTGGCAAAATTACATCTTGCCTTTTTCCTGCACAACCCTTCATCACTGTGATGGCTGGGTTAGCAGAGAGCACTTACACAATCTGTACAGCCTCCTGCCTCTGGAACAACAGTACAGAAGCAAAACACCAGAGGGGATGAAATGAGGCAACAGAAACATCTAGGTGGTGTTAGGACAGTGTACAACGGCTTGCTTTTGATGTGAAGGTTGGACTTGATGATCTTGGAGGTCTTTCCTAACCTTAATGATTGATTCTATGAGGCTGCTCAGACAGACAGACAGAATGCTGTGACAGTTCATTTCTGGGTGCAAGCTTAGCCCCTCAGTACAGAAAAAGCAAGTGTTTCTAAGCAGAAATGTCACAGCTGAATGTGCTCAGTGATTGGTGCACTCTGGAAAGTGCATAATTTCTGGGCATTTACAAAATGTCCTTAAACCACCATTTGATAGAAGGGTACAGCTACACATTGCAATAGGGGCACTGCAGTATTTATGTAATATTCTCTGAGAAAATTGTGTATGTACCAGCATGACACTGGTAGCCAACATTATATTCAAACATCTTCTGTAATCTCAGTATGAGTAATATGCTGTAATTGCCCATTACTGCTTCACCCCCAAAATATTATGAGCTGCTCCCATTCTCCGCCTGCCATAATCTCTTTTTGTGTCTGACTCATGGACAGCTTCTGCCAGGCATACTCACTTTGGTTAGCACCTCAGGGCTGCATCAGCCAGCATCATGCTGATCACAGTCCAAATGGTTCAGCCTGTGAGGAATTCTGTGTATCTGCATGCACCCCCCATTTACTTTCAGAGGCTGGCAGACTGCAGGGATGAACTTCCCAATTTATGAGAACACAGGCTGAAATTACAAACAAAACACATCAGAGCCACAATTCCATTTTGCTTGTACTAAGCCATAATCACAGTTCTTAAGAAATAAATAGGGTAAACACAGAAATGACAAGGGAATACTGTCTTACTGTATTTATATTTTTTAAATGGAGTCTTTCAATTGTTTTAAAAATAAGCATTTTTAAATTTCATGGAAAGGTACGACATGTAGCCGGATGGCCTCTGCATGGAAGAAAATATCACTGTTAAAATGTGTCTCTTTGCCCTCTAGAAACTGTTACTTCACATATAATGTACAGTACAAGCAGATGGAGGTGAGTTCAAAAGTTGTAACTTCATGGTGGGAAGTGCCTTTTGTATGAGCCTAATATTCACATATCATGCTGAGAAAGTGGAAGACTTTAGTACAAGGCATTTGCCAGAGCAAAGAGATTTGGAGATTTAGAAAAAGAAGTATCAGGCTATAATACAGAATCAAAAAAGAGAGAACATTCCTATTTCTCCACTATCTGTGTTATTGAAATCAGGTAACCTAAGCTCTTGAAAACTTAGATAGGGTTCCCAAAGGAGCTTCTCTGCCTGTGGCCCTGCACATCCTATAAAATACATGAATTTATCCAACCTGCACACAGAACTTTCTAAGCACATAGACCTTTTGCATAATTAAAAGTATCATTATACCTATAATGACAATTTCCTCATTGCTGACGTGGGCTATCCAGATGCAGCTCCAAGTGCTTCTCCTGGGCTTCATAGGTCCAAAGTATATAAACAGAAAACACTTTTGAATTTCACTCCCCTTAGTGCAACAGCCACTCGGGTATCCTTTCCTTTCCTTACTGGAATACTTCACTTCACCAGTAGGAGCTAGGTATTTAATGGATTTGTTATGTAAAACACTACTTCACGTGGCACGGCATCATTTTTCATATTTCTCTGGCAGCATCCCTTTGGCAGCTTTCCAGGGCAGAGGATGCAGGCCTGTAGCACGGCTCCCCACTCCCAGAACACATCAGCCTGTTTCCAGTCCTGCCTTAGCCGCGGGCAGCATCTGCCCCAAGCTGGAGCCCTGGGAAATCCTCCATCCTTCATCCGCCACCACCTTCGCCAGGCACAGTCGCCTGCAGCGAGGCAGGGGCTGGCTACAGCTATCCCTCATGGCTAATAGAGAAGAGGAGAAAACAGAAAGGATAAGAAGAACCAGCCCACGAATTGCTGCTAAGGAAGAAGCTGGCACCACTACCCGCACTGTCACACTCGCTGCGCTGCCTCGCACCCTCCCTTTAGCGCGGCCGGGCCGAGGGGAGCCGCCCCTCAGGCCTTACCTAACACGGCCGGGCCGGGCCAAGGGAAGCC